ATATTATATTATATTATATTATATTATATTATATTATATTATATTATATTATATTATATTATATTATATTATATTATATTATATTATATTATATTATATTATATTATATTATATTATATTATATTATATTATATTATATTATATTATATTATATTATATTATATTATATTATATTATATTATATTATATTATATTATATTATATTATATTATATTATATTATATTATATTATATTATATTATATTATATTATATTATATTATATTATATTATATTATATTATATTATATTATATTATATTATATTATATTATATTATAAACTACATGGCATTTCGACACCAATCAAATTAATCCGCAGGTACACCTCTCAGCCAATAGCTGCCGACCGTTTCAGTCCGAGTCTGAACCAATAGAAGGCAGGATCTGTCTGAAGTCGTCCAATCAGAGCGGAGCTTTGGCCCCAGTTCGCCTACAACGACGGTCGGACGTCTGTAACTCAGAGTTGAAGAAATACCAGGCGAAAAAGAAAAGGTATGATCTCGATTTATCGCAAAAATAGATATTAAAAGCAAATGTGAAACAGTTTTTTGGCAGTAGCTTATTTAAACTGGTCTCAGTGAAGCATACGGTAGAGCTTTATGATCTCTTCGCTTGTTTGTGTGGTTTGACTAAACTTTCTCAGTCTTTGTCTTATCTCTGTAATGACAAACAGCAAAATGTGTACTTTTATTTTTTTTCGTCGCAGATGAGGATATTTTTTGTCGGTGTTGGTGAAATACGACGAGTAAAATAAGTTTGTCGGGAGGGGTTAAGCTATTGCAGAGATTTAAAAAAAAAAAAATCTTGGTTCCATGCCGCTTTATCTCATTATATTAACGTTACACAACTCCAGAGTTTATGTCGGCTTTTCATTTAATTGTTTTCAGCATTTTTGCATTATCAAGTGCAGCCTGCAATGAGAAAGTTCTTTTCATTACTAAAACAAAAAATATGAATGGTCGCTGATCATTGGCTGACTCAGTTGTAGGAATTGCTCAAACTCCGGGATAAAGTATTCCTTCTCAAATGTAAACTTCATTCCTATGAAGGGAAATAGGTCAGTCTGGATCACAGCTTGTAAGTGAGCCTGTGCTTTGAAGGCATTCCAGTTAAATTACTTAAACCAACCTGTTGCATTAAAGAGCCAGAAGCATGCTGAATGAAGTTGGCTTTAATGAATGTTATTCTCAGTTGTCCCTGTTGCTTTAGAGATCAAGAGAGTTAAAGTGGAGCTTGTTTGAGTTGGTCGTGTTGCATTGATGCCTCTAGTGTTCCCAGTGTTAATCAGACCTCATGCAAAGTCACTACTAGATTTGGCAGTGCATTAGTATTTTGTAATGGCTAATGTGAGCTTGTGTCTTGTGGTCATGCCACTGCTATTGTGCTGGCCAATAATGACAGGAACTTTGTGAAGTATCATTTGAAGGAAAGGGAATTGGATTACTATTTCCTTGTAAATGTCATCAGATTGTTTAAAAAGTGTAGAGCAGCTGTGAATGTTTGACTTGAAACCTCGACAATTAGTCAATCAAGGTTGACAATAAATGCATCAGTTCTGATTGACACATGCCTGTCCTTTTAAAGTTGGCATTAAATGTAAACATTTTTTCTAAATGCATCTCATTGATCTTATTTTAAATGATCCATCCATGCATGGTTCATTTTAAATTATTTTAGAGCTATAAAACAAAACATCTATCAACATAACAAAAGATCTGTCGATACGTGGAGACTTTAAAGAATGTCGGAATAATCTGTTTGTTGAACACTTACTTAGATAATTGTTTTGGCTGATATTTCAATGATATTTTAACTTTTACACTTATCTGCATATCGATTCTTTAATATTGAGTTTTCCAGTGAAATTTAACATGGGCCAAAACAAGGATGAACTTGACAAATAGAAAACAAAATGTGCAAAATCTTAGGTTTCCTTTAAAAATAATTGAATGAAAAAAAAGTAAAATGTAAAAACTATGTGCTTTATATGTCTGCTGGAGGATTATGTTCATTTTCAGATGTTTATAGATGTATGATTTAGGCTGTTATGGTTATTAGTGTGTTTAGTTGCAAGAATAAAATAACAATTCATATCCTTAATTGACTAGCATAACATTAATACAGTGAAATATGGTGCCAGACCAGTCATAAATGATATTCTTGTCTTTCTTTCTTTAAAAAAAAAAATCCTGATTCTAGACTCTAATTGCTATCTCTGCAGATCCGGTTTCATCTGTTTTCCTAATAGCACCATATTTGAATCTTGGATTAGTTCATTCAGATTGTACCATGATATCAATTCCTGTAGAACTGAGATTTCGTATCATTGTGTCATTTCTTTTATTGTTCTGTTGTCTCCAGGCAGGGGTGTGTATATGTGTGTGAGAGAGGGGGTAGGCTGCATTGGGAGCAGCTATGGGTGAGATCGAGGGCACCTACCGCTCCTTGCAGACCCCTGCAGGGACACGGCTCGGAGCTCAGTACAACACCGGCATCAGCACCCTGGAGCCCGGGCAGAGCCTTGGTTCAGCTATGGGAGCAGGAGGGAAAGGCCATAACAGGGGCCTGCAGATCTGCGTCCAGGGCCTGGATGATGCTCAGGAGTTCTATGACCTTGAGGTGAATGAGTCCTTTCATCTCCATAAGTGAGAGACCCTGAATTTTTATGTAGTTGTGATGAATATGTCACTAATGTAATGTAATATAAAGTGTCTTTTAATGAGCTTTTTTATTTGGCCATGGGGTCGGTACGATTTTTTTTTTTTTATGTGTTACACTAAAATACATTTCACACATCATTTCAATGTTTTTAATGTTTATAGCTTTAAAATGTAACTTATTCCTGTGGTGACAAAACTGAATTATCAGCAGCCATTACTCCAGTCTCTACAGTGTCTCACATATTTCCAAAAATGTTTGAACAGTCGTGTATTTCCTAAAGGTCATGTCAATAGACTAGTTTTATGATTCTTCAAACGTATTAGAGGTGGGAAGTTTGATTCATTTTCAAGAATTTCCAACTGTCTATTTAGTGGTTGTCCATTCAGTGACTGTGCAGTGAATCATTTCAAAACTTTGATTCAGCTTCATTTTTTGTCATCAGTCAAAACATTTTAAGTCTCCATGTGGCATTTTTCTTGTTTTATATTGCTTATATATTTTTATATTGGTGCACTGCATACAAATTGGCATAATTAAATATAACTGTTATGAATTAGTATAACTTGTATTCATTTAGCCAAAAAAAAAAAAAAAAACAGTGTATAAAAACATGGCTTGATTTATTTTGAACTAGATTTCCATTGTAGTTTATTTTTTTATTATTAAACCCAATTAAACCTTTTGAATCTACTTAACTACAGTCTGGCATGTTGAACTGTTGAAATGATGCATATCACATATTGCTACACCCTGAACTTTCTTCCATGGTTGTTTGGTTAATTGTTTGCCTGGATGTTTTGTTCGTTTGATTTCGCTGCACAAATATTGTACATTTGCTATTGTGTTTGCAAAGCTCCCCAAAGTTTATTTTAAAAAAGGCGCACACTGTAGCCAGAACACGGTGTTTGGTTTTGTCCATTTGCGGCTGTGCTGGAGAATGTAAACGGCCATCTCTCCGGAGACCTCTGGCAGTCTTGCGTTGCGTGTTGGGTTGTGGTGGGTGACAGCTGCCACATGGCTTTAGCACTTAAATCCTGCATCTTTAAATCTGTTTTACACCCTTGGCCTGAAATCAATTTCTATGTGCTAGCCTGGCAGTGTTTACACATCTGACATATGCATTTTCTGCACTGATGTTCTGTTGTTATCACTGTGGGTGAAAATGAAAAAAGCTAAGGTTTTCGGTGAGGATGCATTGCTTAAGTTTCCTACAATATCATGCTAGCATTTGAATACAAAACTACATGGACATGCCGAGATTTAAGATTGTGTGTGTTTATGCACTTTTGAGATTAGCAGTGTGGCTTTTAAAACGCTTTTATTGATGCCAGCTGCTTAATGAGGGATATGAAAAAATTAACTGGCTTTACAGCGGCAACACCTGAATTTGTCTTAAAGGAATAGTTCTCAGGCCATCCAAGATGTAGATGAGTTGGTTTCTTCATCTGTTCAGATTTGGAGAAATTTAACACCTGACTTGCAGTGAATGGCTGCCATAGAATGAGAGTCCAAACAGTTGATTAAAAACTGCATGTTTGTAATGAGTAAATCCATCATTAAGAAGTTTTATCAGCTGTTTGGGCTCTCATTCTGATGGCGCCCATTCACTGCAGAGGATCCATTGGTGGTCAAGTGATGTAAAGCTAGATTACTCCAAATCTAGGAAAATTATTCAGCAAATGTTTATTTTGGGATGAACTATTCCTTTAACATCTCTCTGGTTTGATATGGAAGATTATCTATAAGACAGTCTAAGTGTTTTGGTAGAGGATGAGAACTTCCCATGATTAGATCTGATAGCAATGCACTTTGAATTCCCCTGTTACAAACATCAAACACGAGAGTGGAAAATGGTCATTATCCAGCTTTATTAGGCTACAGGACTCTGGAATGCGGTGGTACCACCAAACATGCTGTACTGAAGCAGATAGACCCTGCTGGAGGTAAATGCCTCTTCATATTACGTCTAGATAATGAAAGAACTATAGGGTCAGTTCTGGTTCAAAGATTTATTACTCTTTCTAGTGTTCCTCAGGAGTGTATGTTTTCCATTACACTTAATTTAGCACTGGTAAGTTTTGTTTGAATTGTGGTATTGATTGATCTGTTGTCAGATGATGTGGATGTTTTATTAGGAAGATTGTGTGTAATGATACATAAGGCAACATGGTTTCGTGATCTGTTCCATGATGCACAAACTGACGCTAACGCAGTCTGGTGTTGCTCATGAAAGGGGTTTGTTTATTCTCAGCAAGAGTGTGTGTGTGCACATGCACTTGTGTGCTCACTGCATTGTGGGTCTGATGTCATGTTGCCAGCCACATCTGTTTCCAAGATGGGACTGTGTTCTCGTATACACACCCAGGTACACAAGTGTGGGAGCTATGGGAAAATATCCCAAATTGACCCTCAGGACTAAACTGCCAGACCAAAGAAATAAAGACAGATGTGCTGAACTACTGTTCATGTTAGTCTAAACACACACAAAAGTATGCATTGTCTGGTGACAGTTGTGATGAGATCGTTTTGATTTAGTTTTCCAAATGTACAAGTTTAAACCCCCAGGTTTGTTTATTGTTCCAATGCAGACACTTTTTTTTTTCATAATCAGCAAGCCGGTGGGTTTTCTGAACAACTGACCAGTCTTAAATTGGTCATATGATTTTCAATTTTTCCTTTCTCTTTGGAGTGTTACAAGCTCTTGGTGCATAAAGAAGATCTGTAAAGTTGCAAAGACTAAAGTCTCAAATCCAAAGAGATATTCTTTATAAAAGTTGAGTCAGCCACATCTACCTAAAACGGCTCGTTCTAACACGCCCCCATATGTCTACGTCACGATGTGGGAAGATTTGCATAACGCCGCCCAAATGTTCACGCAAAAGAAGGCATAACTTTTATTCTCGCTGTAGTATTGTTGCCGCCGAAGCCATGTCGTGAAGGCACTATGTGATTCATTGTGAAAATGAAACTTTGTTTGGCCTTCCAAAAGAGGACGATATTGCTTCGTCATGCCTGGAGCTGATCCGTGCTGGTCGCTGAGGAAATAC